TTTTTCTAAAACTTATTGGGATATCAGGTTGTCCAATCTAGTGCAGTGGATTTCCTCCATCTCCTGTTATCTTGTATGAAGTGGTTGTGCTCCAAGTACAAAATCAACGCACGGTTTGTAATCTCGATTCATGACGAGGTTATTTTTCCAATTGTATTTTCCGTGTAGATTTTTGATGGCACAGCTTTTATCGCTTATCAACGTTAACTGTATGCCAAATATGTTCAGCACTTATCATAAGCACACCATTCTACTTGAATCGTTTAGGTGCGCTACATGGTAAAGGAAGAGGACCGATACCGATGTGCGTTAGCGCTAATGTTAAGCAATATGCTTGTGCGTGCTATGATCTCTCAAAAACTCGGGGTTAATCAACTTCCACTAGTACGTCAATTTATTTTGACTGTTGAAATGCGGCATAAAGTTATAGTTATAAAGCAATTTCCTTTTTCAGTCAGTAGCTTTCTTTAGTCAAGTGGATGTTGACTATGTTTTACGGAAAGAAGTTAATTTGTTGTGCAGGACACCAGACGGTGAAGAAAGACCACCAGGTACATAGAGCCTTAACTAAACTGAAGCATTTTTCATTGAGACAGTCACCTGAGTCATATTACGCTTTTACCTTGAATTAATATTCTAGGTGAAGCCCTTGATATCAAGGCTGTGTTAGAAAAGACGGGTGGCTCGCTTACAGTAAAGTAAAACACTGGAATCCGGCTAAAACTTTAATTACGTGTGTATTCAATGCCTTATCAGAAAGATTCAAAACTGTTTTACCTTCTGAGTTATAGATTAAAACGCTTCTAATCTAATTCCCAATTTTATTTGACTCATGTCTACATGGCAATTTCTAAGTTCCCTTCACTATCAATCTTTATAATTTACCTGGTCAAATCTCAGGTGCTCCGAAACCTCGAATTCGCATATCTGTCATGCCTGTGCTTTCTCGCTACAGGGGTTTCATCGTTCTGATCCCGTAATTGCATGAGTTATGCCAAAACGGAGTTAGTGGAGCGTTTGCTTTGTGCTTATTAGTAGCCTTCTAATCAGTGCCAAAGGCGGTCCGGATAAGAAACCAGCGGTTGCGTGACCTTAGACCAATACTCAATAAATGCAGCTGACGAACGTACACTGGGTTAATTGAATTGCGGGACGTCTAGCAGGTGAGGTCCAGCTTGAAGAGTGGGCTGCAGTCTCGCTGCGTCTATGCAGCACCACTGCCTCGAACACTCCTGCATAGACAATACAATGTTAGAGAGACGCCCATTATCAACAGACATTTTCTGTAGACTGATGTTCCTAGAAAGCTTCGGATCCCTCGGTGTTTGTGTTTGGAAACCCCTACACACGTGGACCTGGCACCTGCCTCCAAGAAATCCAATAGCAACTTCCCTGGAGATTGTACTACCATGGAAAGCCGCAAGGGTGCAGGCGGGACAAACAGCCGCCTTGTTTAGTCCTTCCGACCAAGCTCCACTCATACATGTCAGACAAGCTGCAACAGTCAACAAGCAACCTGTGAAGGTGACCGAAAGAAAGTACAACTAGCCGGACTGACTTCTAACGCTACAATTGCTTCACCTAGGTTTCAGACGACATTTATTAATATCAGCGACCACTCAAACAGAAAATGAACAGAATTAAACGATGCAACAAGTACCGTACATTGCTTCATTCCATGAATCAAGATCTCTACTCTCTCAGACAGTTAACTTAAACTCTCTCAGTGGTAAAAACTAGCCTCAGCCATTTTCTAAACAACTAACAAACTATCTCCACATAAAGGACAACAGTTAAAAAAATCCGAGGAACCAATAAAATCACGCCTGTGGGTTACGGAACTTCTCGCCAGCATAAATAGCATTAGCACCAAGCTCCTCTTCAATACGCAACAGCTGATTGTACTTTGCAAGACGCTCTGAACGGCAAGGTGCGCCGGTTTTGATCTGAAATGTTTGCATTTTTCAAAATGCGATAAAGCACACAAAAAAGCAGTGCCATGACGGTGATACTTCTTACAAACAAATTTCAAAAACTGCGAAAGACCTCCATACCTGTCCGGTAGCAAGGCCAACCACCAAATCAGCAATAAAAGTATCTTCAGTCTCGCCAGAACGGTGAGAAACCATAACGCCCCAACCATGTGCGCGAGAAAGCTTAGCAGCTTCGATAGATTCAGTTACAGAACCAATCTGATTAACCTTAAAAGGAAACTCATGAGCGCCCGTGAGACCGAAAGCAGCTGCTTGTGAAAATTCGATATGGTAAAGATGAGCCAGATCACGAACAACCAAAACATTGCATCATCATTTGTTACCTTAAGGAGAAGGCAGTTGCAGGCTTTTTTGTCAATTGCCATCTGAATACGCTTAGGGTTTGTTACTGTCAGGTCATCACCGACTAACTGAATATGGGTATTCGCATGCAGTTTTTGCCAATTTTCCCAGTCATCCTGATCAAAAGCATCTTCAATGGACACAACCGGGTATTCCTGAAATATCGATCAACTAAATGAAATTACGTCAAAATAACTGCAAACTGAATGACAACAGGTAAGTCAAGAAACGCGAAGACGAGATCCACCAAATAGCATTGACCAACATTAGCTTTGTGAAAGACACAATCTCACTTTGCTTGAACGAATGGTGCGAACTAACTTTAATAAAGGTCTGGTAAAGTTCAGCCATCTCTTCGCCCGTTTTCCATAGGTTTTTATCAGAATTGGGGTTCTTGAAGTCTAAGTCGTATTTCTTTTCTGCTTCCTAAAAAAAGATTCTTGTAGAGAACAAATGTAATACTCGAAGTTGAGTAAGGCAAGAAACGGCCGCTGCACAAACCTTGTAAAACTCTGAAGCTGCAACATCCATTCCTATTGACACCTTACCGGTGTATCCAGCTAAAGCAATAGCAGTATTCAACAAGTCCAGCCCTTCCTTATTATCCTGAATGTTTGGCGCAAAACCGCCCTCATCACCAACCGCTGTTGCGTCCAAGCCATACCTCTTCTTGATTTCCGCCTAAAACATGACTCTTTCGACCAAAGAATAAGCGAAACCAAGTGTCACACCAAGTGCTGCAAAGAGACCAACTTTAGTACCTTCAAATGGTGGTAGATTTCTGAACCCATTCTCATTGCTTCTTTGAAAGACTTGGCACCTACTGGCAAAAGCATAAACTCCTGAAATACGGTAAAATGAAATTGACTTTCCTCTATAAAAACAGGGAACGGTGGAAAAAAGAAGAACCTTATACCTGCATTGCCAGCTTATTTCCAGCATGTGAGCCACCGTTGATAACATTGAAAGAAGGAACAGGTAGGACAACCTGCTTAATACCAGCCAATTCAGCAATGTATTTGTAGAGAGGAACCCCTTTGTGTACAGCACCAGCCTTACACACTGCCAAAGATACTCCCAAAATAGCATTTGCACCAAGGTTAGCTGAAGCAAACAACTACACACCATCTACGTGATAAGACTCATAAAAAGCTAGTAGTACTTTCGACAGAATAATGTTACTGTTATTAGAAAAATTCGAAATGTACAAAGAGCTCACATTTGTTTTCAGTCCCATCAAGTTCAATCATGAACTTATCAATCTCAGTCTGCTGGGTCGGGCAAAAATTCTAAATTTTAAGAATGAGACGTTTTCTAAACACTCCGTGGCTGACGCATATGATGAACTTTTTCTGCTTTTTAGACAATAAAAACCGAGACGGTAAACTAAATCATACAAACCTTCGCGACGATGGCAGGGCCAATCTTATCATTGATGTTAGCGACAGCTTTCAAAACCCCCTTTCCATGGTGCACTGCCTTGTCTTTATCACGCAGTTCCAAAGCTTCATGCACTCCAGTTGAAGCTCCAGAAGGAACTGCAGCGCGAAAGATACCTGAAAAAAAAAAAAGAACCATTGATGAGATGGCTGGCAAAACTAAGTCCCTAAGCAATTTCACAACCAAGAACAGGCTTCTAAATGATGTCCCAAGTAATCGAGCAATTCTTTTAGAAGACTGCTGGACAAACACTAGTTTAAAGACTAAATAGTTTATCTGAATCGCTATATGCACAAACCTTTTTCAGTGGTGAGATCAACCTCAACTGTGGGATTCCCACGAGAGTCATAAATTTCACGAGCGTGAATCTTGCTGATCGGCATGCTTGAAGATAAACTGGCAGTGATCCCAAAGAGCAAACTTTCGCTGAAGATGTACGAATCTAGTAGCTGTATGTGACGGCGAATAAAAATGCCAAAAAAAGACACTTCAAGGGTTCACCTTCATACACGTAACAACAACGGAAAATAAGGAAATGCGTCAAAAAAACTTCATATGTCCCAACTAAAAACTGTTGACAATCAGGATCTTAGC